GGGAAGAGCTAACGTCGACTGGATTCGGGAACCCGTTGTCGCGCCCGCTCGTCGAGTGCTCGCTGGAGGTTCTCCAGTCGAGTGCGCTCAGCCAAGTTTGCCAGGCGCGCATCCTCCAAGGCGTGAGATTCGGGGGTTTCTCCAACGATAGGAGTGTGAAGTGCATCCATGTTCCGGCGGTGAAGTTCTTCTCTCTGCAGCGATGTGAGAGGCTCGAGAAGATACTCCTCATGGGGACGCGACGGGTCGCCTCCTCCTGCGCCTCCGTCGGTGCGGGTAAAACCGGGGGGACTAGGCGGTCCATCGACCATCAGAACCTCCGCCGCCGGATCGCTGCTGTCGCACTCGGATGCGGTCTCTTCGGAGCCAGTCGACAGGTCGAACAGGCCGTAGAGGGATCCGTCGGGCTCAATCGCCGCGACTTGAGGGATGACCGACTGACGGGCCACCGCGTGTCTCACCCACAGCTGAAGTCTCGACTGACCGGAGCGCTTGCGCCGGCGGGAAACGGGGAGGGAGGACAGCACAGGAGCCGGCCGGTAAGGGGTCGACGGTTGCCGCGGGAGAACGCCGCGGAGGCATGCGCGAAAGTGCGTTGCCCCGCAGACAGGGAGTGCGTCCACGTCGAGCGGAGCCTCCTGAAGCCAGGCGGAGTCGTCGGCGATGAACGTGAGCGCGCCGAGACGGATCTCGCGGCCCTTCACCAAAACTCCGTCGAAAACCATGATGATTCGGGTCGAAAAAGATCGCAACTCCTCCAACAAAACGCTAAAACACCTGCCCCACGGTGGGCGCCAACTGTCGTGGTTCTAACTCTGACAGTAATGTAGGGGGGTAAGTATGGAGAGGTGAGGTCTTAGCAATGGAGAGGTTGTAAGGATGCAAGGTTTACGAGTTCAGGCCCTTCTCGGAGGAAGTAAAAGCCCTACGTCTTGAAGTCCGGAGGCGATCGACTGGATTATGTGTGTATGAGTTACAGAGGTGCCAACCCCTGTCTCGGAGGAGGGGGGGTGGCTTATATAGAGTGCGCCAGGACCCCGGCCAGCCCATATTACAAAGGGTTCAATGTACATTAAGGCAGGGCATTTCTGGTAACGCTAGTAATAAAGTGCTATGATGATCATAAAAGCTACTTAATGACCGACCGTTAGAGCGCGGGGTGCCTTTAGGTCTCCTGGCCGTCGAGTGGTTGGGTCTTGGTCGAGTGATTGCTTCTTGGTCGAGTGTCTTCGAGTCTGTCGAGTGGGACACCTTTAAGTCGATTGAAAGGTGATTTCTTCTAGAGATGTCCTTGGGTAGGGCAGTTAGGGTAGGTCCATGACCCTACCCTAGGTTCATAGCTTCATCAATGATGGTGACGGATTCTCCTTTCCGAAGCCCCGAACGGACTTCGGATCAGCCCTCCCAAGAGAGATTAGGGCTTGGTGGCGGCTCTGTATCATAAAACGCGATGAATCCTTCTTCCTGATTTTTTTTCTCCCCGAACGTGAATATATAGAGTTGGAGTTGAGGTCGGTGGAGCCTCAGGGGGGCCCACGAGGTAGGGGGCGCCCTCCACCCTCGTGGACAGGGTGTGGGCCCCCTGGTGTTGATTCTTTTGCCAGTATTTTTTTAAAATTCCAAAAATATTCTGCATGAAGTTTCAGGTCATTCCGAGAATTTTTGTTTCTGCACAAATATAACACCTTGGCAATTCTGCTGAAAACAACGTCAGTCCAGGTTAGTTCCATTCAAATCATGCAAGTTAGAGTCCAAAACAAGGTCAAAAGTGTTTGGAAAAGTAGATACGAGGGAGACGTATCATTAGGAAACCTTAACCATCTTTAATCAACAAGCTAGTCTAGTAGAGGCTCACTACGGACATGGTATTTGTTTATGTATCCACACATGTATTAAGTTTCCAGTCAACAATTATAGCATGGAGAATAAACACTTATCAAGAACAAGGAAATATGATAATAACAACTTTATTATTGCCTCTAGGGCATATTTCCAACAAGAATATGATGCTGCCTAAATTGGATGCATTTGTATTGTATAGAAATGATGGACCTAGCATGGACAACACGGATGGATATTGGAGCATGATCAAGTGTGGATATGAAGGTGTGTGCACAGGGAACAAGAACGGAATTTCCGGTGGAGTTTTTAGCACTTTGAAACCACGATGATGACATACAAGGACCTGTTGTTGGGAAACATAGTAGAAAACAAAAAAATCCAGCCTACGGATCAAGATCCCAGGATCACTATGAAGATACATACAAGGTTAGACCTAGTCGTTGCCAACTCCGAGTTACAGCGGAAGAAGAGTTGGTGTATATCATTCTTGAAGCCCCTTGAACCGTCCCACGCGGTCCCTCAAACGAAGATCGAAAGCACGATCTCTCTATGGGTTGCACACGTACGAGATCGATGATCCGACAGCACATCACCGTTCAGAGCTAGGCATCGCCGGAGAACTTGAAGAGGGAGGAAGAGCCTTGCGGCGGCGCTCTACTTTTTTGGAGAAGTAGAGCTTGTGAGAAAAGGGGCGCCCGAAACAAGAGAGAGAGAGAGAGGAGAACTTGTCTCTAGGGAGGGCGCCCCTTGCATATATATATATATGTGTGTGGGGGGGGGGAGAGAGGGGGCCTAGCCGACTGGAGGAAGGGAATCCCTCCCTTGGGAGAGCCACCCTTCTCCAACACCTAGCCGCCTGCTAAGCTTGTAGGGCAAGCCAAAGGGGGGCGCCACCCTTATGGAGCCTCTAGGTCCATGTGGTTACCCCCTTATAGACTTTAGCCTATTATATGGCAGCCTATCGCACCTAGAATAATCTTGGGGGTCCTGATAAATATTGTCGCCCTCTTATATTATTATTAGGTCCCTCAGAACTTTTCCACCTTCCTAATTTTCTTCAAAACGCTTTTGGGTTCCCTGAAACACTTTCGGTTTTCTCTCGAAACAATTCCTATTATCTCGGAAACTTTTCCGGTGATATTTTCTCAAACTCCTAATTCCAATAGAGTACAACAAAAGTCAACCTCGGATTCATGTCAATTCCTTGGACGCTCCCTGGTAAGTTGGCCCTTGAAGAAGCAAAAGTGTGTCTCCCTCTCCACCACTGAAGCCGAGTATTTTGCCGCCGCAAGTTGTTGTATGTGATGGCTGGATGAGGCAAACATCAAAAGGTTCTGGTATAACTACGAACAAGATGCCTCTTTATGTGACAATGAGAGTGCAATTAATATCGCCAACAACTCCATTCAACATAGCCGCACCAAGCATATTGCCATTCATCAACATTTCATAAGAGATCGTGTTGGAAGAGGTGACATTGAGATAGCTCATGTTGGCACTAACTAGCCGTCATGGCAGAGGCACAGCAGGCAGCACTGCCGGTCTTCATGTTTTGGATGTTCCAGGAGGACGATACAACCTGCAGCACCAGCTCACAGAGGACCAAATCGTCGACGAGCAGGCGAACAAGGAGGTCATCACGACCATGGTCACTGAGAATTTGGGCGTCGCGGATAAGCAACGAGCGTTATACGAGTCCATGTGTAGCGCCCGCGCCATCTGTCGTGAGCGATGGCAGCTTCGTGTTAACAAGACGGAGTGCGACCGCTAATTCGAGTAGATCACAGCCGAGGCAGCACATGCAATTGCGAACAAAAACACTGCCAACATCGACAACTTCACGATTGTTTGCGCCAGGCCGCAACAACCATGAGGTCGGACCGTCCACGTCTATCTCACCTCCAATAGCAAAGAGTAGGACGTGGGACATGGACATGCCCATGGCCAGCAAAGATTTAGACTCGAATAATTAAATCCTTAACTTTTGCTATGTAAAAAAAATCCCTATATTAATGAAAATGCCATGTCCACTTTTATTTGGTGCATCATTTTTATTTGATGGACCAAGTTGGCTGGCTGGCTCCCCTGAAGCTGTCCACAGACACGTCCAAACATGTTCACTTTTATTTGGTGCAGTAATAGCGTCGGAGATGCCCCGAACCTAGGAAAGAACCCTATTCCTGATCGCTGGGATTTTCTTAACTCCCGCCAATAGCATCGCTTTGTAGGCCTTAGCGTCCGCCGGCTTTGGACGTGGACTTAGCAAACCACCACATTGTGCCAACCAATTTCAACAAGGCAAATCAAATCATCTTCAAAACCTTTACACTACAAATCCTCCCATCAATCAAATAAGCTAAATAGCCAATCGAATCGTCAGCAACGAGCGAAGCAAATATCATCATCATCCAACATACAAGCATATTTTACACTACAATTAGCGTCCGACGGCTTTGGACGTGGACTTAGCAAACCACCACATTGTGCCAACCAATTTCAACAAAGCAAATCAAATCATCTTCAAAACCTTTACACTACAAATCCTCCCATCAATCAAATAAGCTAAATAGCCAATCGAATCGGCGGCAACGAGCGAAGCAAATATCATCATCATCCAACATAACAAGCATATTTTACACTACAATTAGCGTCCGCCGGCTTTGGACGTTGACTTAGCAAACCACCACATTGTGCCAACCAATTTCAACAAAGCAAATCAAATCATCTTCAAAACCTTTACACTACAAATCCTCCCATCAATTAAATAAGCTAAATAGCCAATCGAATCGGCGGCAACAAGCGAAGCAAATATCATCATCATCCAACATGACAAGCATATTTTACACTACAAAGTAACTACCCCCACAAATAAAGGAGCATAAATAAATAAAAACAAATAAAGGCTTCTAAGTAACCACCACTAGCTGGGAGCAGGAAAAGCTTTACAAAGGAAGAGGGCACCAGGTGATGAAGTTAAGATTTTTGGGGCAAAAAAACAACCAGGAACCAAAAACTAATCTAGACATGCCATCATCAATCACCACCTGTGGCAAGGAGATGGTGTGGAATTGATACATATCACCTCACCTTGTCTCATGAATCTAACTGTTTTCTTTCTCCCTGTCTCCTAGAGTCCTACCATTGTTTAGTGGCCTGAGTCATCTCGTTGGCTGATCAGACGTCTGGTTGTTAGATGCTGCTGGAGCTGATGACATGGACGGGTGGGCTCCGTTATCCTGGGGAGGCGCAACTCCCCACTTTGGGTCCGCGTCCAGCGGCTCAACCACATGAACTGCCCCATCACTCATTCCAACTGCAATCTGGTTAGGCTCCAAGGGATGCGCCGCTACAACCATGGGGTACACATTTGCCCCGCTGTTGGATTAACAAACAGGGGAAATAATAAGCAAAACGCAACCATGTATGAAAACAAAAACAAGCAGTGACACTGAGCAGCATGCCTAGATATTGAAGGAGGCACATAGGCGGAAAGTGCAATCCTGCAACGCAACCTAAGGGACTCGGCTTCAAATACTCCAATAGCACCGTCACAGAAACCAGCATAAACCAGGAGACCATCACACGAGTATATTGCACTCGAAACTGGCGCTGGCAGTGCATCTCTTGGGTACCACTGCATTTGCATCAAGTAACAGGGGAAATCAATGAAGATGCCCAGTAACAATAATAATCCATAAAGGAGAAAAAAGCAAATATGTATAAATCAAAAATATTTAGCAATGACCTGCAGTGAGTAATAAACCTAGGGTAAGAAACAATGTGAATATGGAATAACGAGCAGATACAAAAATAATAAATTTTAGTCATGACTAACCGAGCGCGAGCATTCAAGATTTCCATCATAGATTGCCAGTTGGCTCTCATGAACTACAAGAAGATGTGTTTGGTCATTGTGAAACTGGACCCTTGTATCGCCAACTAAAGCACCAGAGCGATTTGCCGGGGGTTGGATATATTTTGATTTCTTCTTCTCCCAACCATCAATGCTCCAGACGCATAGCTGCAAATTTTGGTTTCATCAATCAATGATTTGAGAACAAATATATGACATCATAGTTGTTTGCCCAATCGCAAAGAAAATATAATAAACAGAATAATGAATGGCCTGGCATGCGACTAACATGAATTGGACCGTTTCCGCATAGCAATTTGAACATTTAGCTGCTACAATAATTTATAACAGAGTAAAAGATCATACCTGAGCATCAGCACCTGAAGATACAAGAACATTCATTGATTGAGAAAATGCCAGTCCGGTAATCTTTTTCTGATGACCCTTGAGCTTGCTTTTGACCTAAGTAATTTTGTGGAGTTGACATTAGTACATGGCCTTCGAATCAAGATTTAGTGCAAAATAAATCAATATTAAGTGCAAATCCAACATGAAAGGATTCAATTGTTACCAGACAAAGACTCCCAAGTATTTATAAGTGTCGGTTGAAGGTTTTTGATCGACAGAAATTGTAATGGTATGTTCCGTTTGTGTCCAAAATCTATCTTACCAAAATTTTATTCACTCTAGTTCATATTTCTTGCCAACATTGGACGAATCATGGGCAACCAATACCGTGAACAAAATTTGGGCTAACCAATTTTTTGGTAGGGTGAGCTTGGGCTAAAACTAAATACACCCTAAGTGTAATCTCAGATACTTCAAATAGGGCAAAGCAAGAGGAGATACAAAACATATTATTTAAAAGCAATGATACATTGATACTTCAATTCAAGTGAGTTTCATAAGTTAGCAGCACACACCTCATCAACACGGACATTGTAGATTTGAATGGTCGAGTCTTCCATTCCTATAGCAATAATATTATTGTCCTGTGGGTGGAATGCGAGGAAAGTCGCAGCAGGTGGAGGTGCCATGAAAGTAGTCATGACCTGTGACAGATTTCACATATCTAATCAGGAAAGTCGGATAAAGGCAGTAACACAATTATGGTTCTTGTTATCTGGAGTAATGGCTTATCAGGACACTATATTACCCTAAGTGTGCACGGTTGGTTCAGAGGGGGAGGGGGGATTGTCTATATGCTGGAGAAGCCATTTACCTTGAACGTCATCATATTGAACAAAGAGACTTTGCCACCAGATGCAGACATAACATAGGAGTCATTTTTGGACAACGCAATGCAGGCAGTTGCTTCTTCTGGGTTGCCATCACTTGTGTCATTTGTCATTAGAATCCCATTTGCTGGTTGCCACAGGTGAGGCGAAATAGATGCAGTAGACTAACAGAAGAGGGTAAAGAAAATTCAGAAGGCAAGCAAAAAAAGATTGCAACTGAAATCCAAATAAATACAACTTCAGTCTACCTTGCCATTAGGATTCCTGTCACTGCGTTGCCATTTCCACAGCTTATGAACAGCATTGGAACCGAGAGACAAAAGTGCAACCCCACTATTTGTATACAACAAACGGACAACCTGTTGAGGAAACAAATAAAATGTGACTCATCAGAAAATTTACATTGCCCAGAGCATTAACAAACTTGCTTGGCAAATAGTGAACTGCCAATTATACAGCAAAAAACTGCAGGCAAATATAAACCTTTATGAAATAATAACTGCAGTCAAATATCAAACAGACAATATGACTACCCTCTTCTATATCTTAAAGAAACAGATTGTATGTGTAAGTTGAAATTGCAGGCTCAATATTTATAACTCAATAAAACATACAGATAACTAAAGGTAATTATGCAACTTGGCCAACATACTTTTGTTGGAGATGCTCCTGTATCTGGACAACGCCGTGCCCGAAGATGTCCTGAATCAACAATGTCGGCCAACTTCCAGGTCTTTAGCTTTTCAGATTCATCAGTTATTCTTGGTTTAACATCCGGCGTTCTGCTAACATCCATAGATGCCTGCACATTTGTTCACGACATTTAGCAAGCCAATGTATTGAAGAACAAGAAAGGCTGTGGAAACTAACCAGTCCACTCATTGATACTGCAGGCAACATCCTATCAGGTCGCTCTGAGTTCACTGCTATAGGACTAGATACATTTGAAGCAGAACCAAGGTTGGTGAGCAGTGGAGGCTACATTAAAAAATTAGAAGTGAGTACATGGCACTTATTAATACGATCTTCAGTAATTGCCAGGCCAAATAGAAATCAACATTATGCAGCTAAAGTGGAATAGTAGCTGAATGAATTAGTTGTTTCAAAATCATCATTGGAACTCATCTTGTGTGCACCGTACAGATACAGCTGGATGCAAATGTCCTTTAAGACTGTAGGCTCAAATAAAGATTCCAGCATAGAGCAAACAAAAACAAATAGCAGAAAACAAGAGACCTAAATAAGGACCAAATTAATGTAACATTTATACCCTAAGTGAACCTAGGACACAAGCAAATGTTGATGAAAAGTATATGCATCATTACCTTGGTATTAATTTGTTGAGGAGGTCCACGAGAGCCTTCAAAAGCCCTGCTCTCTAGCATCCTCAGCAAACGCTGCCCATCGGTGTTTGCTAATATTTTTATTCCATTATCGTTTGCTGTAACAGCAAGCAATGACCCTTCTCTATTGAATCTCAGGCGCGGGCTTGCCTGCATAAATCAGTAAAAGTCAAGCAAAAACACTTGGTACTTACATTCATAAAAAAAGCTACAGAAACAGACTTACAGGCAGTCCACCCTCACAGTCTGTTGTTGTCAGTATGTTGGTGTTATCCATATCCCAGAATTTAACAACAAATTCATCTCCAGCAGCCAAAAAATGGTTTCTCGTTGTGTCAAACTGGACAACACCCAGTGACCGTTTCCTGAAGCCATTATATGTCCTCTTAATAGCTCCTTCAGTCTCATTCCACTCGACCAAGTGGGAATCACCGTCTTTACTAGTTCCACAAGAGAAGAGCCTGCAAGGAAATTTCAAAACATACAATTTATATGGGTGTGAAATTCTAAAAAAATGAAGTATAATGTAGATCTTTCATCTTTCAGCATGTTAGCTTAATTTTTCACTTGAAGCTTCTCACCTTGTACCATCAGCACTATAAGACATGGTAGTACACCAATGTCCAGGAGCATCGTAGTCGACCCGTGAGCCCAAACAGTCGTATAACCATGCCTTGATTTTTCCATCGATGGCGGTAGAAAAGATAAACTGCAGAGAAGCTAAAGTTGTAGAAACCCACAGACAGACGATAAAGATGAAATAATTTGAAGTACAAGACTGGGATACCAAAATTAAACTAAGTGAACCTGACAACATGGATAGCAGCCAAAACAATAAGTACAGTACCATTAAAAAAATGGCAGAGCATAGCTTAAGAATAGCAGAGGTGAAATCATCCAGAAAGTACCTGAATGTTCTCCTTGTAGTGAGGGCAAACAGAGTACACTGAAGCCTCATGGCCTTCAAATGTGTATTGCTTTTGTCCGGACTGAGCATCCCATACCTGCAAATGAAATGTGCAAGCATGCTAAGGATGTTCTCTTTCGTTCTAAAAAACAGTGACATCATGAGTAACCTCACCTTAATGAGTTTGTCATCACCACATGTAATAATTGATAGGGACTTGTTGGGGTGAGAGAATGCAATGTCATTGACCCCGCCAATGTGAGCATCAATCTGTGCAATTCACAAAGAATCAAATAGTTAGCAACCTTTAAGCGGTTCCGATGAGGATTAGTTTGGGAATTATGGGGAGTTAAGGACTCTGTCCACCTAAGGGCTCGAATCCAAACCTCGCGTTGTCAAACAGACCGAATGGGGGTGTACATAGAAAACTAATTGATATATAGTCTCATCAATATGCATGTACCTCTGCTTGCTGTCTTAACTCTCCATTAGGAACAAACGTATAAGTCTGAACGATATGCTTTGAAAATGCCACACCTGAGAATCAAATCAAGCTTAAAGAATCAATCTTATAGACAAGCAAGAAAAGTGACAAGGAATAGAACACTCCTGAGCAGAGAAGCATGCCCAAATGATATGCATTCCAAAGCATAAAACAATGCCCAAATGCTATCTTCTTATTGAAAAATGGCACGTATTTGAATAATGCAGTTAAACTGCCTGTTTCCATACCTAAAATATTTCCATCAGGGCTCCACAGACACCTATTGACACATATTGCAGCATCTTTCATTAGTGCAGCCTGAACAAAGAACAACACACTTTATGCATTAGAACTCACAATATAAGTCAGAATGCTGCTAATTACAGGCTTACAGCACATTAGAAGTTGCTAACAACACAGAATAAAATAGATCCAAGAATTTATCATTCAAATAATGACCTGCAATGGCAAGGTGCAGGAGCCAATGTCCCAAACTTTAAATGTCTTGTGTGCTATCCTTTCGCGTGAACCAACTTCCCATATCCCGATGTCACCAACATTTGTTCCAACTGTTTTACAACAGATATTAAATACATTAATATGCACTAACAAAGTAAAAATTCAAGAACCAAGCAAAGTGTTTGAAGAATGTACCTAGAAGAATAGTTTGTTGAACAGGATGGAAATCCAGGCTCATAACATTAGAACCCTGATTGAGTGTGCGAACAACTTGTTTGGGGAGGTCTTCTTGACTGTAAACATTGGGAGGATGGCTTGCACCAGAGAATGACACCTGATATAGTTTTTTTAAGGTGTCAAAACTGCTTCATCAATCCACTGTTACAGAAATGAGTAAAGAGCAGAAACTATGGCAAGTCCAAGTTCATCCAAATACCTCATCTGGCTGGCCTACACGCATTCTTTTCATCAGATGTTCAGAATCTGCAGACTGATAGTCAATGCCAGGCGCACTTGTAGGAGTCCTTGGATGCTTCAGAAATGCCGCTGCAAACAAATACAGCATCCAAACAAAAAATGAAACAACATTGAAACAGTGACAGACACCATTTTGCTGAATTGCAGTTTTATGATACCTGTGTTTGGTGGCTGAACAAGACCGGGCGGCCCTTGTGCAATAGCAGGATGTGGTAAGGAGGGATTGGGATTTGTCATCCAACCAGCAATTGCATTTGGAGATGGTGAAACCACGGGTTGAAACGGCTGCAAGATTGAGAATATAGTAAATGATAGGATGATATAAAAAGTCAAAATGTTCAACTATAGCCGTGATACGTACAGCATGAGCACCCATTGGAGGGAATCCAGCTGTCTTGGGGATTGGTCCAACAAGAGGACCATTGGCAGGGGGAGGAGCTCTTGCTCCATTGGTAGGAGCAGCACAGGAGTGATCCGTGAAGAGTGTCTTTATGTCAGGGTTTGGTCTAGGATTCTTGCAGAGCTGATGTTGCCAGTTAAGACTACATGACATACAAAATCAAAGCAGTCCAGTTAGCATCACCCTCCACAAGAAACTAAAGAAAGAGAAGGCAATACTGAAAGCCTTGTAGGTCTTCATTATGGAAACAGCCCAAGCATTGCATGTGTTGAATATAGGCAGTATGCAGAAAAAATAGAAAGAAAAAAAATATGGCACGTCACAAACCTACACATCTTTGTTATATTCTGCAAGAACTTGCCATACAGAGTAACCAACTGACACCCCAAAAAAATTGTAAGTAGAAATCATATCAAACATATTACCAAGGTAAGAAGCTACAAATGAGTACCTAAAACTTGTTATTTTGCTAATTCTCAGTTGCTTGAAATTATCACAGATCCCTGAAATTGCATATTAGTTGGGCTAAAGTTACAACCTGGAAGGGTGCAGTTTTAGTGTACTCTGCAATTTGCATTCCATATGTTATATCTGGAGTGGCATGAGGTAAGAGTGGTTGGATGTTGATCCAAAGGCTTAGAAATGTGACTCAGATGAGGAAAATATTCAGGCAACTTACGAATAGTCAACTCCTAAAGTTCAAGCAATCAAATGTCCCAAGTACATATGGACAACATTTATGAAATGGACAGGACAACTCCCTCTTCACAACTACAACAAGGATTTGGTAAAGCACTAGAAAATGCTAATTCTGTTTGCCTTTTACACACCCCTCTTAATTTCCAAACTAAATGGTTGGAGTATGACCATTGACAATCAAGAATCATAAATACCCCTTATACATCGTGAAAGTGCTAAACTTCGAGTTTGTGTCCGTATAAAGACTGCACACCTCTTTTTCTCACTTATCCATCTCATTTTAAGGAAAGATGGAAGCACGGCCAGAAGAAAACAAATAAAGGGAAACCCTCCCAATATAGCAGCTTTGTGACAGCTCATTTCCAATCTTATAAGTACCATTAGGAAAAACATGCGCTGGCCTGCTATGTTATATAGTACAAATTTAAACAGAATCTTACGCACGTCAAATCTTATTTGCTCAAGAAATAATAGTACAAATTGTTCAAGCAGATCGCATCCCTCTGTAGAAAAAAATAGTAACATGTAATTAAATGCATGCAATGAATAAAATTAACCAAACACCTTTGATTGATCAACGTGCGCAGTCTCGAGGCTTTAAATGGTGGGAAATTAAGCTTGTCTCGGAACAGAGGGTTTGCCTCAATAAGCTTCTTAAGCTCCATGAGCATGATATTCCGGGCTGACTTTGTATCCCCGTATTTGGACAGCTGCTCATTTTGCCTGTTTGTGATTTAGACAGAATTACATCCACATTAGCACAATGCACAAGCATTCTGCTCTACGAAAATGCTCCAAACAAGCGATTGGCACCACACCTAAAATTATCCAGAGTCAGCAGCTGCGTTATCTCCTTGAACAGCTCCTCGTTAAAGGAGGCAAACACCTTCAAATCCTTGACGAGTATCTCCACTGCCTTGGCCCGATCATGCCTGCAAAAGGCAAACTGAGTTGAGCGCCTGCAAATCGCTGTTGATCCTGAGCAAATGAGCAGGATAGGAGAGGCTTCAATATGAGTTACCTGTCGAGGGCTTCAAGGTACTTCTGCTTGCGGATCTCAAAGAATATCTTCATGGAGTAGCGGTTGTCCTCCACCTTGGTGAAGCCGCTGAGGTACCTCTCCACCTCGTCCCACTCCCCACCTTGGACCAGGTCCTCGAAGTGCTTCATGTTGAAGTAGAAGCCCGATTCCTGCTCCAACCTGCGCGACCAAAATGGACGGGGGGTTAAAAAAAAAAACAGCTTCAACAACTCCAGATAGCTCCAAAACTTTGTCTTGATCAACCAGACGAGACGAGGACACTTACTTGTGCACCGTCTCCTTGAACTTTTCCTCGTCGAGGAACTGCAGGATGAGGAAGACCAGCTCCCTGCTGAGCGACGACATGGCTCCCCCGATCCCGCCCTGCGTCTCCAGCGCTCACGACGAAGGAGGACTCCCGCCTTGGCGGCAGATCCCCTCCCAAATCTCCGTAGAAACCAGCGCAGGGCCCCAACCGCCCCTCGAAAAAACCGCACCAAACAACCAACGAGTAGCTTAGAACCCTAGCAGGGCGAAAACCCCTGAGACGAAACGGGCGGCGGGAGCGAGGTCACAGCCCAAGCGGACCCATCCCGGCGGGATCTCCCCCGATTCCGGCGGCCCGGCCGCGGATCTGCAGCTCCTGGCGCCGACCGATGGCGCACGCGTGTCTCCTCCCTCAGCGGCGCAGCACGTAGACTAGGGTTTGGCCGCCGCCGCCGCCAGCTGCTGCTGCTTCCTTCTTCTCCTCTTGGCTCTAGCCGACGGAGGGGTTTGCCTTTTCTTATCTCTCTCTCCCCACTTCGCTTTCTCTCTCCAAAACCAGTCTCTCTATCTCTCTCTCTTTGGAGTAGGGAGTATTTATTTTTCTGGTCTGCTTTTGGTTTTTTGGGGCTGCGTTTTATAACCACTCCGCCCCGTCTCCCCTTATATAGGCCCCGCCAGATTACACGAGAGCCCACGACCACGCACCTCTATTTACTTGGCAGCCACTGACGAGGACGGGCGACAGGGGCAAACTGGGTAACTCCCATCGTGAGGTCCGCAGCCACAGGTAGGGGGTAAACTTCCGTTAACCATTTCTCGCATCCTTCCTCGTACGGTCGTACCCATTCATTTCTCCCTCCCTCTCACGCATCCGCGGTTTCGAAATTTGAACGGGGCCTGCCAGCCAGGGTTGAGGCAGCCGCGCCCGCTACAGGATACCCAACTTTTCAGGCGTCTACACTTTTGTAGTATCTTTCTTACTTATATAACCACAATAATGGATGGATAAGTACCGCCAAAAAATATGGATGGATAAGTTTCACCTACTAATATTGAGAGGATGCTATATTTAATCGATCACATCTCGTATATATATCATTTCATCTCCGTTTGATCCGCCGCGAGGCCAAAAATCATGGCTGAGCATGGTGCCGCAAACGCAAAATATGTTCGTCTCATGTTTGTATGGACACACATTTCTGCCGTAAGTTTAAGTCAAATTTACATTCATGCAGACACGAGACAGACGTGTTGTGCATCCTCTCGGTGTCCGCCTCAAGCACGTGGGTCAGCAGCCGAATCACCACCACGGGTCCCACGTGTGTGGGAGGGTCCCCATGTCAGCCACCCTGGCCCCGTTCATCTGATTCTTTTTAATGCCACACGCGCTGGTGGAGGGTCGTCCAGTGCACTTTGTGATCTTCTCCCTCACCTCTACCGACCAAATGATCGACAAACCCTAGCCACCGCTTTCCCCCACCGTCCACCGGCCAAGATGCCGTGGAAATGGGTCCTAGGGAAGACCAATAACGAGGTCGGCTCGTCCTCTGAGTTCTCGGGGTCGCGCCACCGTGTGGCAAGTTTCGCCGTGACGCCGCCCGCGACAACATCTACGTCGGCGTCGAGCAGTGCCAACAGTATTGGGATGAGGCCACACTGGTGTTGTGGTCTGACGTCCACCTGCCGGACAATTGACACCTCGACCCAGAGTGGGTGCCCGTGCCTCCCGTTTTGGCCACTGGTCGCGCGCTCCTGCTGGAGATACATCGCTGTCAAGATCAGCTCCCGAAGTATCTCTGCCGCGACCCAACATACGTCGTCACCTCGCCATTCTGGGACACTTGGTTCCACGACGAGCACGGCGAGTGGCGTCGGCCATACTTCGCCGCATGTGCTTCCCCTCATGCGCGTGCTCCAAGTCCCCGCCTTGTGCGCAGGCGTACGCGTGCTCCCAGACCACCACCCCAGCCCCTGTGTTTGACGAGGCCTCCCGGATCACCGAGGAGGAGGACAAGGACCTCAAAAAGACCATAGAGTTATCCGAGCTCGCCTAGCTCTCCGAATGGGAGGGCCTGGCAGTGCAGCTGGCCTTCTCTGCCACAGGCGATGTCGTCGTCCCGAGCCGGAGGAGTGTGAGGTGGAGGAGGAGGAGGAGGAGGAGGTCGTGCCATTTGAGGCGGTGATGGGGCGATCCTGGTCGTGGACGACCAAGGTCCCTGCACGCCGGAGCTGGTGGCGGCTCCGGCCGTGTGGGTGGGCGCGGAGACGTGGTCACCGGAGAGTCAGCAAGTGGTGCAGCCACAGCCGAAGCCTCGGTAGGTGCCGCTTATCCCATGGTCGTTCTCATGGCAACCTCCGCCCTTCGTCAACCTCATCGCGGATGACAGCGATGATGACGACTAAATCTAGGGTTCCATTTAGTTTAAGTTATTTATATCCTTTTCTAGGTTAAGTTATTGTATGACCGGGACTTTTTGTGGCAATGTAAGATATTTTAAATTTTAAATTGTTGAAATGGGTCGGCCGCGTTGGGTGCACCTCCAGGTCGACGGACAAAACAAACGTTGGGGGTCCATCTAGACAACCCAAACAGACAAAAAAACATGTTTGTTTGGGTCTCTGCGTTGGAGTTGGCCTAAGAGAGTCATCCTCATCGACTTGTTTATATCATCATGCAAGCATGCCACCTCACCATACAGTTATGAATGGGATAAGGTCCACCTCAACATGCAATCATGCACGGGAAAATACCCACCATAACATTCAACTATGCATATGAAAAAGCTTCTATTAAATTATTCTACTTATATTCAATAAATGTTGCTACAAAATACAAAATTAAATATACACTACTGCAGGTTGGTCCAAACACGACAGTCCAATCAGAGACCCTTTGACGAAACTGTGTGTGATGCATTAATCACAAACGTTGATGTAAAAAACCGTCAAAAAAGATGCAAAACGTTTGCGGTGGTGGATTCATCAAACACGGTTCAGATTGTAGATGCATGTGCAATGCATGGCAAACGGTTGATCCAGAAAAACTATTTGCGATGAGGTAGAACAACAGAAATGGGCAGCCAGATGAGGGTGTGTGCGATATACGACAGCGCGATCGGGGCATGCTCGGGGGCTTCTGTCGGTGCAACAGACCCCGGGTATGTTGCCCAACTGTGTACAGGCACAAGATCAAGATTGGAGCACCAGCTTAAGTCTGAGATTGAAGAACCAAGAGACTTGAAAAACCAACGTGCAGCTCAGAGAGATCAAGATTGAGACAAAGGAACTGTATATCGGCAAGAGAAGAGCCTCCCTCGCCGGGCAGGCGAGCCCGGCAAGGGGCTAGGCCACCACCAGAAGCAAGCAGCCAAAACTCCCCGGCAGCACCTGTCGGGGCTTGCGGGGCCTGAACCACCCCGCCAACCAAGCAAGAACGACCCACGTCGTGAATCAGTACGGTGTCAAGCCGCAAGGTGATTAAGTGGCAGCATTCACCACATGGCAGCCATCTCCTACAGAAGAAACCCACAGGTGACACCCGTCCAGCGACGTGTCAAGAGAACATGAGAAAAGCTGGCAAGATAAGCCTGGCAGGCCTTGCCGGGCAGCTAGTGATGTGACACTGAGTGGTGCATTTAATGCACCCTGCCAGCCCGCAGAGTTAGGTATGATAGCACCGTTTGCTATCACATCAGTGGGTAATGATTGTTTTGCCACTGTGGTGACCCCTTACTCTATAAAAGGAGGCCCATGACAATCATAGGAGGGGTTGGAGGTTTGGATACTTGACAAAACTCAAGCCACCATACGCTGGTGTTCACCGTAGCCCTTAGGCAGATCTTGCCGGGAAAGTGTACCACGCACCACCACGTTTCATTTCCACCATCAATCCAACAAAGCAGGAGTAGGGTCTTACGCCTCGCGGCAGCCCGAACCTGGGTAAATTGCTTGTGTGCTCTCTTCCATGCTGCCGCGCACTGGTCTGCTCTTTGTGCAACGCGATGTCCCCCGCCAAACCAACAAGGGGCCACCCGGTCTCATAGGTGGTCGCGGATATCCCGCGACAACTTGGCACTATGTCGATAGGTTAGTACAGAAAAATGATATAGAATGACTATAAAATGATTATAAAACATCCAAGATTGATAATATAACAGCTTCGAACAATAAAAAATTATAGATACGTTGGAGACGTATCAGCATCCCCAAGTATAACTCCTAGTCGTCCTCGAGTAGGGAAGTGATAAAAACAGAATTTTTGATGTGGAATGATGCCTAACATGTCATATCATATTTCTTTCTTTATAGCATGGACATTTGGACTTTTATATTGTTCAAAGCAATAGTCTAGTTTTGACATGATAATTTAAATACTCAAGCATATCAACAAGCAACCATGTCTTCCAAAATATCAACGGTAAAATAAGCTATCCCTAGCCCATCATGCTCAACCATTGATCCATTCATGAAACACACTCGCATATTAGCTATATCTAATACTCAAGTATGATCATATTGCCTCCTAGTTGGTGCTTTTATAAGAGAAGATGGATACTCAAACTCAAAAAAATGCATAAAGTAAAAGAAAGCTCCTTCCACTACAAAATAAGACACATCCGTGACATTTTGGGTCGAATGAATTTTTTTCTGTCATACTTATGACACTTCTATGACGATAATTTTGACAAAACCTGGTATCATCATAGATGTGGTGAGCTCCTACTTCTATGACAAAAAATCATGACAGAAAATGGGCTTTTCGTCCTGGGCAGGCCGGAGACGCGGCTGCATGACATTGTTTGAGCCGTCCATGACGAAAAAAACCATGGTATAAGCGAGGGCGAGGAAAATATTGAGGAGTTCCCGGTTACGGTGGGTGGTTGGGGACCGAGCGATGTGCATTTCTCTCGTACACGTACGTGCATGGGTGTGAGGCGGTGGGCTCTAACTGAACCTGAGCGAGGCATTCTTCTACTGAACCCGAGCGATTGCATTGCAGGCTATGCGTTACTGAACCTGAGCGATCGATTGATGGCAGTTAACTGAACCCGATCGAGTGATTCCTTTGCTACTGCTGCTAACTGAAGCCGGTCGATGCT